GAGGAACTGGAGATGGCGTTTACAAGTGGCCCATGTTTCACAAGCATACAGTAAGGTTGGTAGTAGAATAGCTTTGTAAACAAGCATTTTGGTTTCCCTGTGAATGTCCTGGTCCTCACACACTCTGCACTTCAACTGGGAGAAAGCCGCACTCGCAGAGCTCAGGCGATGCTGATTTGTGTATGCAGCTGTGTGCACACATCATACATTTAAAACTCATGATTTTCCCCAAAGAATCCTGGGAAATGTTACAGGTGCCAGGAATTGTAGCTATGTGAGGGGTAAACTGCAGTTTCCTGGGATACTATGGGGAAAGACGTGCTTTCAAAGTATGGCTTGCACACAGCCTGTATGTGTGAGCGAGCGAGCAAGATGAGTAATACTATGTAGAATCTACTTAGTAGATTGTGACCTCTTAAAAGCTTCTTCTGCCACCAGCAATCTGGGAGTGGGGTTCAGCGGGGCTTTTATATTAGTTAATTTGTGGGATGAGGAAGCGTTGGTGGTCTATTCTTAGAAAATGGTTTTAGCATTACACTTCCATGCACATGATCACATCTGTGTCCTTCTCCCACATTTCACAGTTGCTGTTACGCATTAGAATCCCCATGCAGAAGTAGGTAATGATTTGTTTTATTCATGTATTTTCCTTCCTTCGTCTACCACCTGAAGCGTGTGATCGCCAGTGCTGATGTGTGGAGTGCTGTCGACATCCTGACCCAGGAAGCTGGTCTTTGTCAGGCCAAACTCCACGCAGACTTGGCCAAAATGGCTGACGAGTCTCTGTAGAGCTGCCTTGGGAGTGTGCTGCCAAGGCTGTGTCATCTGCAAACAGGATATCTCAGATAAGGACCTGGCGCACTTTGGAGAAACGAGCCTTGCCAATATTCCTGTCTAGCTCAGCATTGGTGAAGGCGTTTCTGGTTAGGGTGGAGCCCAGGTAGACAAAATCGTCTAGTGCCTCAAGTGTGTGGTCCCCAGTGCTGATGTACAGAGTGCTGGCGATGTCCTAACCCAGGATGTTTGTCTTAATCAGGTTGATTGCAGAGGAGGACCTTAGGGTCTCGATTTTCAGCAGCACCCTGCATAATGCCAAAATTCAGTACCCCTAACAAAAGGGGAATGGTTAAGTAAACTATGTGAGTACCTGGAGTTAACAAAACTGACGGATTTAATAAGGCATAAATCCAAAACTTTAATACAGAAACAATGGGAATGCTTAAATGAATATTTATACAAGCAGGGCTCAAATACGAAAGTTTGGTTGTGCTTAGACTAACCTTGTGAAGAATATAGAGAACATCAAGATTTGAATGATTATGAAAGAACCTAAGGAAGGGAAATGATTGAAGAACAGATGTAAAGGCGAGGAAGATAACTGAGAGGCGTGCGGTGAATGCGGTGGAAGTCTTTTATAATATTTTAACTAGGATTTATATATTGTAATGTTTGAAGCATGAATTTGGTAATATTATTGGTTATGAAAAGTATTTTTTTTCCTTTTGTCCTCTCTCTATTTTTAAAGTTTGCATTTCGGAAAACATGTATATAAATGTGTTTAAAGTGTTATGTATTGTTCTTTGTTTCTCTTTCTCTTTCTTTTCTTGTAAAAGTAAAAAAAAATTAATTAAAAAAAATACAACAACAACAAAATTCAGTACCCCCTGTCGCTCTCACTCCATTCTGAATCATAGCTGCGGCTTCCCCTGCACTGCCCTTGAGGTTCTGCGACCAGTGCGACAGAACTGGCCGCGCTCCCCTAAATCTGCCTCTGCTTATGGTGAGGCCAAACTTCCTGCAGGCTTAGGCAAAATGGTGCTTGAGTCTCTCAAGCATGCTCTTTTGCAGGAGACTCCATTCCATGTCACTCCTTTTTTTAAAAAAAATGTAATTTTTAAATTAAATTTTCTGTTTTACAATTTCAAATAAACATTTTGCATACTTAAGATATCAATGACTTCCCTTCTTCTCCTACCATAGTTCATTTTACATATCTTATATCCCTGCATATTTTACAAAAACTGTAACATTAAGTTTTCCATTATTGCATCCATCAAAACCTATTTACACTGTTGAATTTATCTTAATGCTGCCAGCATTTTCAGCTGTACACAATTATTCCCATATATTCAATAAACGTTTTCCAATCTTCTCTAAACGTATGTTCCTCTTGTTCTCTTATTCTATATGTTAAATCAGCAAGTTGTGCATATTATGTCAACTTAAGTTGCCATTCTTCTTTAGTTGGGACCTCACTCGTTTTCTATTTTGGGGTTAACAAAACACGGGGAGCAGTAGTAGCACACATAAATAACCTTTTCTGACACCTGGGAATTTCAGTCTGAATTATCCCTAACAGAAGGACTCTGAGGGTTTTTTTTGGGGGGGAGTACTTTTGAACATTTCCCCCAATTCATTATAGATCATTTCCCAATACTCTTTTACCCTTTTACAGGTCCACCACATATGAAAGAACGTTCCCTCTACCTCTTTGCATCTCCAGCACTTTTCTGATTCAGTCTTATACATCTTAGCAAGCCTATTTGGAGATAAATACCATCTGTAAATCATTTTCAAGTAGTTCTCCTGGGAATATACATGTTGTGAAATTCAAGAAGAAGAAGAAGAAGAAGAAGTGTTTGGATTTGATATCCTGCTTTATCACTACCCAAAGGAGTCTCAAAGCGGCTAACAATCTCCTTTCCCTTCTTCCCCCGCAACAAACAAACTCCGTGAGCTGAGTGAGGCTGAGAGACTTCAAAGAAGTGTGACTGGCCCAAGGTCACCCAGCAGCTGCATGTGGAGGAGCGGAGACACGAACCCGGTTCCCCAGATTACGTGACTACCGCTCTTAACCACTACACCACACTGGCTCTCCATTCAAGTCACTTTTCCAGAGTTTTTCCCAGAGGTTTAAAATCTATATTGCAAAACTCCTTTCCAACCAGGACAGCAGGCTCATCACTTCCAGCACTTATCTGATTCCCTCTTGTAAATCTTAGCAAACCTGTTGTTTAGTCGTTTAGTCGTGTCCGCCTCTTCGTGACCCTCTGGACCAGAGCACGCCAGGCCCTCCTGTCTTCCACTGCCTCCCGCAGTTTGGTCAAACTCATGCTGGTAGCTTCGAGAACACTGTCCAACCATCTCATCCTCTGTCGTCCCCTTCTCCTTGTGCCCTCCATCTTTCCCAACATCAGGGTCTTTTCCAGGGAGTCTTCTCTTCTCATGAGGTGGCCAAAGTCTTGGAGCCTCAGCTTCAGGATCTGTCCTTCCAGTGAGCACTCAGGGCTGATTTCCTTCAGAATGGAGAGGTTTGATCTTCTTGCAGTCCATGGGACTCTCAAGAGTCTCCTCCAGCACCAGAATTCAAAAGCATCAATTCTTCGGCCTTCTTTATGATCCAGCTCTCACTTCCATACATCACCACTGGGAAAACCATAGCTTCAACTATACGGACCTTTGTTGGCAAGGTGATGTCTCTGCTTTTTAGGATGCTGTTTAGGTTTGTCATTGGACAGGTCATAGTGGAGAGTTTTGACCAAATGTTATCCACTGTCCAGATGGTTGGATAGTGTTCTCGAAGCTACCAGCATGAGTTTGACCAAACTGCGGGAGGCAGTGGAAGACAGGAGTGCCTGGCGTGGTCTGGTCCAGGGGGTCACGAAGAGGCGGACACGACTAAACAACAAATAACCTGTCCATCTTGGGTGCCCTGCACGGCATAGCTCAGAGCTTCTCTGAGTTACTCAAGCCCCTTCGCCACAGCAAGGCAGTGATCCATTAAGGGGCTTAGCAACCCTAAAGGTAAAGGTAAAGGGACCCCTGACTGTTAGGTCCAGTCGTGGCCAACTCTGGGGTTGCGGCGCTCATCTCGCTTTACTGGCCGAGGGAGCCAATGTACAGCTTCTGGGTCATGTGGCCAGCAGGACTAAGCCGCTTCTGGCGAACCAGAGCAGCGCACGGAAACACCGTTTACCTTCCCGCCAGAGCGGTACCTATTTATCTGCTTGCACTTTGACGTGCTTTGGAACTGCTAGGTTGGCAGGAGCAGGGACCGAGCAACGGGAGCTCACCCCGTCATTGCGGGGATTCGAACTGCAGACCTTGTGATTGGGAAGTCCTAGGCTCTGTGGTTTAACCCACAGCATACCGGTTCGCAAGCCTAAGGTAAAGGTAAAGGTACCCCTGCCCGTACGGGCCAGTCTTGACAGACTCTAGGGTTGTGCGCCCATCTCACTCAAGAGGCCGGGGGCCAGCGCTGTCCGAAGACACTTCCGGGTCACGTGGCCAGCGTGACAAAGCTGCATCTGGCGAGCCAGAGCTGCACACGGAAATGCCGTTTACCTTCCCGCTAGTAAGCGGTCCCTATTTATCTACTTGCACCCGGGGTGCTTTCGAACTGCTAGGTTGGCAGGCGCTGGGACCGAGCAACGGGAGCGCACCCCGCTGCGGGGATTCGAACCGCCGACCTTTCGATCGGCAAGCCCTAGGCACTGAGGCTTTTACCCACAGCGCCACCCGCGTCCCATGTTAGCAAGCCTACTGGGAGAAAAATACCACCTGTGAATCATTTCCCCCCCATAGCTGTCAACTTTCCCCTTTTTTAAAGGGAAATTCCCTTATTCCGAATAGGATTCCTCGCAAGAAAAAGGAAAAGTTGACAGCTATGTGCCCCCCCCATGTTGCCCCTCCTGGTCTTCCCTGGGGCGATGATGCCCCGTCCCTCCACGGCCCCCCACCCAAAGGTGCATCGGGCTTTGGCTGGCTGCTCACCTGCCCACCTGCCCTGCGCCCCCCATGGGTGGGCGGGGCTTCCCCGCGCCCCGCCTCCTCCTCCTCCCCCCTCCTCCCAGGCCGGGTCTCCGGCGGCCGCCCAACCGGAGCGGCGGCCCGGCTGACGTCACATCGCCGCGGCGGGGTTGGCTGCGGCGGGCGCGGGGCGGGGCCTCCGCGGGGCTTAAAAGGCCGAGCGGGGCGCGCGCGGGCGGCAGAAGCGCGTCGAGGCGAGCGGCGTCGCGTGTGTCGGCGGTGTCTGTGGCGAGGCGGCCCCTCGCCCTCTGGACGCCCCCTCAGCCCTTGGCCGCTCCTCCCGGCGCTGCTGCGAGGCCGGCGGATGCCATGGAGAGGGGCCCGGCGGCGCTGCTGCAGGTGAGCCCCGGTGACCTTCGCCGGAGGGGTTCGGGGCGGGGGAGCTGAGGGGAGCCGGGCGGCCTACCTATCTGTCCGCCTGAGGGAGAGGCGGCAGCGGCCCCCAACCACCCACCCGCCGGTCTCGCCCTGAGGTAACTCGCGGACGGGCGGGGGTCGCGCGCCGAGTGACGTCTGCCAAGACAAGGGAGAGACGGGGCCTGTGGGACTCCCCGCCACAAGGTCCCGCCGCGCGACCAGGAGCCGCCTCTCAGCCGCGCTGCTCCCTGGCGGAGTTATCGGGTGGCTCCCCTCTCCCAGTTGCTCCATTAGGGTGGTTGCTTGTGTGTGGGTTTTTTATTTCCTTGGGACGCCCCCCCCCGAAAGGGGGCAGCGCTTGGGCTCTGGAGGAGCGGGGGGCGGGAGGCAGGGCTGCAGCAGGAGGGCAGCGATGGCATGCCAGGATGGGCAGCCTCCCGGCTCAGAGCATCCTCTCTCCTTTCCATTCTTCCTTGGACTGCCAGCTGGTGGGGCCGATCCAGCAAGGTTAAGGGGGAAGGTCTATTGCCCAGTGGTGTAGCGTGGGGGGTGCAGGGGGTGCAGGCCGCACCGGGTGCAACATCTGGGGTTAGGGGAAATCCACAGGTTAGGGGGTGCAAATCCACGGGTTAGGGGGCGCAAATTACTTGCCTTGCCCCGGGTGCTGACAACCCACGCTACGCCACTGCTATTGCCTTCCCGCCCCTGTTAGCAGTGGGGCTTGCTGGAGGCGTCCCCCCACTGTGGGGAGACTGGGCAAGGCCATTCAGGGCTCTTCTGCTCCCCCAGCCTAGAAGTGGCTCTCCAGGATCTCAGGTAGGAAGAGAGGTCTATTCCCGATCCCTGACCCTTGTACGAGTGGAGATGCCGGGGCTGCGACCTTCTGTGTCCAAAGAGATGCAAAAAGACGTGACTGCCTTTCCCCCCTGGCCAGGGCTGAACCGGGATTTGAACCCAGACCTCTAAGCATGCAACAAGCGTATCAGATTCTCTTACCCCAGCTCTATGGATCGTGGGGTGCACCTCTCAGGGGCTCCCCTTGCTACCCATTTCCCCCACACCCAGTGAGCCTTGGCAAAAGGGTTTCGCAATCATTCTCCATGGGGCTGATTACCATCCATCACTGTTGAGCCTGATGTCTTTAATCTCCAGAGGTCTGATGTGGTTTGGGACCTGTACACTTACTTTGGAAGCCAGCTTCTTCTTTAAGCCCTCCCCCCCCCCCAATCGCCTTTATGGGCTGGTGAGAAGGCCCCCATCCTTGTGCCACATGCAAAGACATGCAGAGATATCTTGTCTTCTTAAGAGCATCCTTCTGAGCCCAGGCAGGCATTCTTGCTTGGGTTTCCGCATAGTGTGTGGACTTAACTTTGAATTCAGTATAGTATTTTAAACTGAATGGGGAGGATTTGTTTTTGCTTGTTTCCCCTATTATCTATTGCTGGTTTGTAAACAGCTGATCGTTTTGCCATCTGTAGGGAAGAAATAACTCTTCCAGGTAAACAAGGAGGAAAGTTTTCGTAATCTTGAGGGTGGCTGGTGCTCTCAGTGCAGGAATGTAGTCCAAATTATTATGGATTAGTAACCTTTGTGGGCTTGTTTGTGAGAGTTGTCTTTTGGTTTTACAGGGGCATTGTTTGGTGGGTTTTTCCACTCCTTTAAGAGATATTGCACGCACACAGGTCCTTGGGTATGTGTTTTCAGTAATGACCACATTTAATAAATAATATGATGGGGGGGGGAGGAGGAGAGATGGAATTAGGGCAAGCCAGAGATCAAGCATCATGTATGCAAATCCAAGGTTGTTCCAGGGGAGGGAAATCCCTCCAGAAACATTTTACAGCAACCTTCAGCAACTTTGTACCCTCCAGATGTTTTGGACTGCAATGCCCATCAGCCTTGACCACTGCTGGCTGGGGCTGGTGGGCATTGTAGTCCAAAATATCCAAGGGGATGCCAAATGCACCTTTATAGAAAAATACCCTCCACCTATATAGGAAAAGTTGCTGTCTCTGGTGGACAGAGGCATCCTGGGAAGGGGAGTGAAAGTGGGGTGGGCTCCAGGATCACAAGAATCTGTCTTGCACCAAGTTAAGACCCTTGGTCTATTTGGCTTAGTGTTGGCTGCACTGACTGGCAGACTCTCTAGGGTGTCAGGAAAGGGACATTCCCAGACCTGAAGATAGCAGTGATTGACCCAGGGCCTGTGCTCAAGTGAAGGAAGCGCCTTCTCTGAGCTGTGATGTGTTCTCTGATAAGGTTCACACGAAATAATGCTTTGGGAGTAGGGTTAACTCCTTTCATAAGAAGTGTTTGTACTGTACTCCTTTCATGAAATCCTCTTAGAAAAAGAGAGAATTAAATGAAGGGCTTGTGCAACCCAATTTGCAAGCCCCTGTTTGCCAGCTTTATTGATCAGGCAATGTTTGCACAGTCTTGTGAGTGGTTGTCTGCTCCCTCCCCCTGGTTCACACAGGTTGCCATAGCTACTCAACAGCAAATGATGGAGCTATAGTAACAAACAGGGAGTGCCGTGCTTCCCTGTGTATACAGCAAAGGCTGGGACCACAGACACATGTACACACCCTGCCAAAAAGAAAAGAAAAAAGGATTGAGGCTTTTGTTGCAGAATAGCTCTCCAGCACTGGGAACAGCAACTTCTTTCTGGCAGCCTGTGTGGCAGACTGAAATCCAACAGGTGCAGCTTCTCTGTGACGGCACAACTTTTTTTGGTTTCTTATGTAGCTTGTCATGTTTGATATCTGTGTGCTAGGCTGCTACTGTGGGTGACCTGAGAGAGAGTCTCTCATTCCCCACCCTCACTCTGCCAAGTTCTCTGCCACATTGCAAGGAATCCTTGGGAGCACAACGGCATCCTTGCAAGTCCCCCCAAATATTACAGCTCCAAACAATGGTTTTGATCGCTTCCAAACCCGAGTCTGAGGGTCCTGCTGCCTCCTAGGTGCACTCCTTGAACTCCAATTTAAGAAGTTAACCACTTCAGCGATACTGGATCTGACCACTGCTAGGATATGCTCATATTTATAGATTGTGAGAAATGGTGGTATTTAGGGATTCACTGAATGCAAACTTTTTTTAGTGGCGTTTGCTTATAGCGAGAGTGTATGTTTTAATGTGAAAACAGGTGATGCTGTTTTTCTTCTGACAAAAGTTGGATGCTTTGCCAAAAGTTTGGCACTTAAACTGCTTTGGTTGCCCTGTATCATGACCTTTGTAGAGAGAGAGACAAGAGAAACATGTCCTTGTTAATTCTTCGAAAGACATCTCAGTGGCTTTCGATACCATTGACCGTGGTACCCTTCTTTCTGAACTAGGGGTGGGTGGCGCCGCTTTGCGGAGGTTCCAGTCCTACTTGGACGGTTGTTCCCAGAGGGTGTTGCTTGGGGAATGCTTTTCAGCCCCATGGAACCTTCAATGTGGGGACCGGCAGGGCTCAATCCTATCCCCCACATTGTTTAACATCTACATGAAACCGCTGGGTGGGGTTATCCGGAGGTTCAGAATACGTTGTCAGCAGTATGCTGATGACACTCAGCTCTATTTCTCCTTTACATCTGCAGGCGAGGCAGTGGAAGTGCTGGACCAGTGTCTTGCCTTGGTAATGGACTGGGTGAGAGCCAACAAACTGAAACTCATTCCAGATGAGACTGAGGCACTGTTAGTGGGTGGTTCCCTAGATCAGATGGGTAGTAGGTCGCCTGCTCTTGATGGGGTTACGTTGCCCCTGAAGGAGCAGGTTCATAGCCTGGGGTTACTCCAGGGTCCTTTGCTGTCACTCGAGGCTCAGGTGGCCTCAGTGGCCCGGAGTGCCTTCCATCAGCTTCGGCTGGTGGCCCAGCTACGCCCCTATCCAGACAGGGATAGCCTAACTACTGTTGTCTATGCTCTGGTGCCCTCAAGGTTAGATTACTGCAATGCGTTCTACGTAGGGCTGCCTCTGAAGATGGTTCGGAAACTTCACCTGGTGCAGAATTCAGCGGCCAGGTTGCTCACTGGAGAAAGACAGTTTGAGCATATTTCCAGTTGCAGATGGGTAGCCGTGTTGGTCTGCCATAGTCAAAACAAAAAAAATTCCTTCCAGTAGCACCTTAAAGACCAACTAAGTTAGTTCTTGGTATGAGCTTTCGTTATCTGAAGAAGTGTGCATGCACACGAAAGCTCATACCAAGAACTAACTTAGTTGGTCTTTAAGGTGCTACTGGAAGGAATTTTTTTTAGTTTGAGCATATTATATTTATCCTGGTCCGACTGCACTGGCTACCAATTAGTTTCCGAGCCAAGTTAAAAGTGCTAGTTTTGACCTAGGTAAAGGTAAAGGTACCCCTGCCAGTACGGGCCAGTCTTGACAGACTCTAGGGTTGTGCGCCCATCTCACTCTATAGGCCGGGAGCCAGCGCTGTCCGCAGACACTTCCGGGTCACGTGGCCAGCGTGACAAGCTGCATCTGGCGAGCCAGCGCAGCACACGGAACGCCGTTTACCTTCCCGCTGGTAAGTGGCCCCTATTTATATACTTGCACCCGAAGGTGCTTTCGAACTGCTAGGTTGGCAGGCGCTGGGACCGAGCAATGGGAGCACACCCCGCCGCGGGGATTCGAACCGCCGACCTTTCGATCGGCAAGTCCTAGGCGCTGAGGCTTTAACCCACAGCGCCACCCGCGTCCCAGTTTTGACCTATAAAGCCTTAAATGGCTCAGGACTGCAATACCTCAAGGACCGCCTCTTTCCATAATTACCTACTCGGGCCTTGGGATCATCTTCTGGTACAGAGGTACCACTGTATTTAATAATATCCTCAAGTATTTTCCAGATGAAAACCAGGACAGCTTTGGGGTGCTTGGAACCCTTGGAACAACAAGGGTTGTGGCTTGGGTGTGCGCACGCACACACACACACCCTTCACAGCCACCCCAAATATTGTTGGAAAGCTTTTCTCTGGCTGATGCACATATTATACTGACC